AAGAGTACTCTGTGTAATCGCAATTCAATATATCATATAAATATGTTTCATCCTGTAAATCTAATATAGTTCACTCAAATTACCGTGTAAGTTTTGGCTGAGTAGTTTGATCGGCATCAGCGGTACCTATCTCCATATGATCAACTACTACTTCGCAAAGAACTTTCACGGTAACGGTATTCGTTACCGATCCAGCTGTGATTGATATCTTATAAAAACCACGCTCCGGCTTCATTTCCATGAAATTCATAGTAAATAAAGTTCTAAAATTTAACAAACACATCAAAATATTTAAAATTATCTACGCTATTGAATATACATGAAAAAATGTCTGTTGAACTTCTTAACCTTCTCCACGATTGCAACGAAAGATCAAAGGGTCGTGCCAACGAATACTTTACCCCAAGGTATAACCGATTTCGAAAAACAGTTCGATCGAATCGGTAAAGTATTGGGGAATAACAAGAAAGGTTTAACACTCACTTGTCGGTTGATGAAGGCTGCAAGCTTTGTTTACTGAAGAGAATGACATCGTCTCCGACTCTTGTTGCAGAATTTGCGATTACTTTAAATGTGCTAGTTAAGGGATTGCCCAATATATCGCAAACTCTTACCGTAACCAAAGGTTGACGGGTAGAAATACTGATTTCTTCGTTGGCTAATGTTATGCATACCGGTTTTTCAAAATCGTTATTTGCTAATGCCGTTAACGCTGAAAGTAAACTCGTAACTCCCCTTGGTGTTTGCACAGAACGACGAGATAAAAGGTAATTGGCTATTTTTACTATTTGCTGAGGAACTAACGGCGGTTTCGTTTTCAGCGTGTTGGAAAGTTTAAAAATACCATTCACCAGAAAACCTAAAGGGCAAACGAGAAAAAATAAGCAAAAAGCATGTAATCTTTATAATCGATATTCAATCTTACATTTTGCAACTTGTTATAATACTGTGTAACAAACTTAATACTCACTAGTTACAGAGAGGCCACCTTCAAATTGTAAATACTGACCATCTACTTCATCAGCCTGAATAATGGCATATTCGATATGACTAAAAGCAAAGGCACCAGATGCTCCAAACTCTGAAGCGATGTGAAAAGCATAACCCAAGCTGCTCATAAAACATCCAATCAACAAATATTAGAAGTTGGATTCAATTGCTACTGATGCTTATAGATTTTAAATGACAATGGAACAAATTGAAATTTTATCTTTACTTCCAATGTTATAACCATAAAATATTAGCAGAGTAAGCCGTACTTCCATAAATCGTCGTCCTTTTGTAGCATATTTTGTAATGCCTTTACTACATTAGCAACTGTTTCAGCTGAAATTTTTTTTGATAAAGCAACCAGACCGCTGACTCCATAATACAAATCCATTATACTTGAAGTCTCTTTCTCTACTGCATTTAAGAGCACCTATTTAAATGAAACAATATCCCTTTATGTCTATCTGATGAAAGAAAGTGTTACCAAAGAATATATTAAAATTTTCATTCAGTAAATATAGTTATTCTTCAATATAGAAATCCAGTAGAACGAAAGTTTATAAACATCATTATATTTAAAAACACGTTATATACAATAATGTTTAATACTTTATACTTTAGCTTTCTGAAAAAGACAAACCTTAACAATATTCAGCGTAGAATGACCTTGACAATTTCCCACAGTTTGCCATATAGATGCAACATAAAAAGCTTTTTCTGTTGTGATATTGTTACCATCTTTCATAGACTTTATCAAAAAATTACAAATGTCCTGAAAAATACATAAATTTTACTAAAATGTCGGCAAAAGATTTAGAAAATATTTCAATGTATGTATAAGTTTATCAGTAAGACTAATCATAGAATCATTATACTTCAATCTTGGCTATATTTCATCACATATCAATGTATATTTATAATAATAGTGACAAATAAGATACATTGGAATATCCAAGTAGAAGTATGAAAATTTTTCAATAAAGTAAATTATTCCTTACTTGTTTATTTGGCACAACCTCTCCGAGAAATGTATAGCCACGAACCGCATAATATAAAAATGTAACATCGTTTGATGTTAAACCAGGTTCAAGTATCTTCTTTAAATGAATTCTATCAGCCGTTGTTAAATAAGAATTTGTCGACTGTAAAATCTCGGTGGCCGAGAAGCAAGTTGTTATACTGATAGTCGTAATTAACAATGGGAAAACTAAAAGAAAAAAAGAAGGAAAAGGAGAAAATATGCAATGTTAAGTATCGATCGAAATTTTACGTACAATAGTAATTTAATTATTCTTAACAGTGTGTCAAGATACCTTGAATAAAATACCAAACCTTTGTGAACAATTCTTGAGAATGCGATTATAAAATGTAGAATATGCATACTAGATTTTTCTTTAAAAATTAATAAAAATTACTAACAAATTTAAATAAGAAAATACAAAGATATTTGACAAAGAAATTCATAAAACAAATATTAGGAATGAAACAGAAGAAATAAAATATTAACAAATAAAGTGGATTACAACAATCACCGATATAGTCGAAACGCTAATACCGAATACGAGTACATCACACAAAAATATAAATATTTATAAACGCTCATCTTTAAACCTATATAAAAAGCATTTTAGAATGATGTAACATTAAATAATACTCACAAATATTCATTGTAATAAGAACACCGGGAACACCGGCTGCCACGTTGCTGTTCCGAACAAAATGGCTCTTTATCCATTGCGCGTGTACAAAAAAATGGACGACTCTATATTCCGGAAGTAGTTGGCAAAACAAAAATGTATTGTTTAGAAAGCATGCGCACAAATTACACGTTAATAAATAAAGAATTGCGTATGGCATATTAAAATTTGACTGATACAATTATTGTAGACGAGAACCAATTAAAATATACTAAAGTGCTCAAATTTGAATCAAAAACATGTTTTATTGCGTACGTAGATGTCAAGTATCGATTAAATGTTATTAATTACGAATTAATCTTTTATGAAAAATATTATGTATATAAAAAGAAATGCAGCAAATCTAGAGTAGTCATATACTTACAGGGTTTAATGATTTTGCAATTAAAAAACTAACGTACGTTAATCCTGCTTTAAAATACAATATTAATATACATGTTAGAATTCTTATAGGCGAAAAAAGTGATTGGTTCTACGATTTTCTGCTTTAAAATATCATGTACAATGAATAACAGTCTTTTATCATTGAAATTTGGTACAAAATCAATCATACCATTCTTCAATCCACTTATTAGTGAAAGAGTACTAATGGTTTAAAATATTTAACTTTTTTCGAATTTGTTTCGAAGAATCAATAAGGAATCTGCATACATATAGTAGCATTTACAATTGAAATGAATTATTTCAATTATGTTAATAGTAGTTCATAAAGGTAACGTTGAATTACGATAATGACAATTATAGTGGCAAATAAATGATGAAAGTATCATCCATTATACTACTAAAAAATGATGGTAATAATAATTATAGTGATAATAACGATAATAAAAATAATGCTAACGAAAACGATAATAATATAATTATACAGTGAAATGTTATTGTGTCACTATTTGAAAATGTGTACAAAACTTAAATTTAACGGCAATCAATGTGTATAAAACAAACATATTTTAAACATACACAGGATTTCGTTTACAAAAAGGGTGTTATATTCATGCAGAGATTAAGGTTTCGTCTAAGAATAGTGAAAATTGCACGAGGTTCCCCTTTGAACAAAATATTTGTCTCCTTTTGATACACATAGGTTGTTCATACAAATGCGTGTCAATCAATATAAGCTTCATTTCAACTGCTATCTTCAGCAACATATTATTAAATCGTAACAATATTTGGGTATTATCGCCGGTAAGCTACCAATACGTATTCGATCTTGAAGAAAAATTTCTTATTATTTACAAGCGTATTAAAAATGGTGATTCCTCGATAGCAATCGTGAAAGAAAAATGAAACGAGAGGAATAAGCTAAACTTGAATGGAGAGGGACAAAATGCAAAAATAATAATAGGGTAGTACCAGTGTATCAACATGCGTTTACCATGCGACACAGCGAGTCTGTCAATGCGTACGTACAATCTTAAAACAAACATATGAAAGAGAGAGAGAGAGAGAGAGAGAGAGTAAACAAACAAAAGAGAGAGAGCGAGAGAGAGAGAGAGAGAGAGAGAGAGAGAGAGAAGAAAATGCGAGATCGTTATTTTTTGGTTAGCTTTTTCATAGATCTCAAATTCGAAATGGAAAAATAAACTTATGTCATTATGGTGGATTTTATGATATCTTAAGCAACTTAAAGACTTGCGTGTCAAAGAATCTACGATTACACCGTTGCATGAACGTTTAATTTCCCGAATGAAGCATTACAAACCTAAAAATATCGCATTATATTTACGAATTGTTAGAATGATGTACGGTGAATTAATCACGACCGCACAAATAAATGTACAAATATGCTGATCGGAGAAATAAAGTCATTGGTCGGTCGTAGATCCTTATAACTAACTTATGTATATATACACTGACAGCGCATGTAACACGCATACACTGTATTACATAATTTTTCGAGTAAATTTAGACAATATATTACAGCATTTTCAATAAGGCTATATACACGTAGCGAAGTGTTTTCAATGAGCGAGAAAGAGCATTCATTTTCATCGCCTCGGTATTTACAAATAATCTTACGTGTCATAAAATTTGCGACAACGACATTTGATTTCCTTTAATTTCCTTCTTCCCTTTTCGTTTCTTAATACTACATACACGCGCACAAGCGTACGCAACATACATACACGGTTGATGGGGCAAACTTCGATGTGAACAGATCATTTTTTATGTATCAAATAACAATGAACACAAAATACCAAGATTTCAGATTTGGTATGAAAAACAAATTGAAATAAATGATTTCGCTGTTTTTTCTCCTATTATTTGTCACCAATCTTCAAATTTTGGTCGCAAAACAATGACATGACCCATGTACCAAACTACTCGAATTTGGTTATACTTTCCTCGGTAATGACATTACAAAAGTAAATAATATACAACAGACGACCAGTTTGTCACATCAAACATACGGTAATGTCAATCTTTCGTTGCAAAACATGTATCCTTATTGTCCGATTGCGACTAATCAACAGATTCCGAAGGGCCCTGACCCCAACGTGATTTTATTCTTGATGTTTTGTTCGGAGTACAAGGGGCGGTACCGTCATCGCTAACTTTTCGTTTAACGCTTAATACAATTCCGCTTTTTGGAACAAACTTGGAACGAGATGACATCGTGTTAGATACATTATTGTCCACACTCGGTGGGGTAGATGGAAACGGAGGAAAATCCTCATCTTCGAGACCTGGAGGTTTCGGTTGTTCGGGAGCTATGCTCCGTTTGAAAGTTTCTGGAAAAGTATTCTTATAAGTAGTTCCTTCGTGAACGGGAGAATCTGTTGTCGAGGCTAAACCAGAGAGATTAACAGATACTGGTATTAACGATGGGGAGGAAGTTCCTATGATTGTTGGAAGAGCTGGTGGCGTTGTAGATAAACTTGATGGAATAGAATTTTCAGTCACCATGGGTCCTGATGATCCTGATGATCCTGATGATCCTGATGATCCTGATGATCCTGAAGATACTGCTGCAGATGCAGCCGCGACGGCCGCTAATTCCTCTTCTGCTTTTCTGATCAAATCCAAATCGCTTAATGAACTTAAAGTACTCTTACTTTCTTTTTCTTTCAAAATAGAATCTCTATGATTAGATGATGATTCTACTGACGATTTCTCCGGATTAGATATATTTGATCCGCTGACTGGAAGTTTTACAGCATGCGGAGACGAATATTTTTCCGAATTTTGATAAATCGAAGAATTTGTGGTAGTTAAGAATGTGGCACTGGGCTTAGAGGGTAAATACGGATCTACTTTCGAACTCTCTTGTCGTTTGACATTTGCTAAAATTTCTTGCAAATTTGGTGGTATCGTTATATTTGAAACTTTCTCGAGAATCGGTTGAGTAAACTTTGAAATTCCCGGAGGCGGAGGCGGTGTAAACGATCTCGTATCCGAAGGACTGTAAGCTTCTTCGCATTCATCACCGGTTGGCGGGTCCAGCCCTAAGCCCTGAAACCGATAGAAATAAAAATATTAAGCATTAACAGAATTTTTGGATTTACAATCCTTTTTTTTTTTTCTTCTTTTCTTTTCATCTTGCCTGACCTTTCGCTTTTTATAAGTACAGATATACGTGTATATACGTAACAGTGATCCAGCTTACGTACGTATATAAGTGTAGATCGTGGTGAAATTGATTTCCCTTTCTGACTACAAGCGAAATAAAACTTTTCATTTGTTCTTTTCTTGATTTCTTTCCCTTCTCCAGTCCCCCCTTGATTTCGTTTTGTATTTAATGATTATTATTGATTTAGTGGTAATCGTTGGAAAAAGAAGAAAGAGAGGCAGACACACACGCGCGCGCGCGCGCGCAGATAGAGAGGGGGAGAGAGAGAGAGAGAGAGAGAGAGAGAGAGAGAGAGAGAGAGAGAGAGCTGAAATAAAGATTGAAAAATAAAAAGGACTGCAGCTACTAACAGATTTCTACTTCTCGTTCAATGTTTCGCACGTTAATATATTTTGCCTTCTTAATCGTTTATTTATTTACTTTTTCCCCTATAAGATAATAAGAATCATGAAAGACATCGAAAGCAACATACAGTAAATCGCGATACATTTAAAATCGCGATGACACGCGAATCTTTCAAGTTTGAACAACGTAATCGGATTAAATCCGCAAAGGAACTTACACGATTATACAAAAAGATAAGTTCGCATTGAAAAGACAGTATGTACGTGTATGAAAACTAAAGAAAACCCCATTGAAAAATATTCGCAAGAAGTAATAATCTGAGCAGCTTAAGGATAGGAAGAGGATACCACGGGTAGATCGAAATCAATTTTATTTACAACAGGACAAAAGGAAAAACAATAACATTTGATTTTATAAAAAATAAATCTTGTTAAAATTCTCACCGGCAAAGTAGGCGTTGATTCACCGAGAAACGACGAACTAATACTCTGTATTTGTTGCTTCTGTTCTTCGATTTGTCTATTCAATTCTTCCATTTTTCGCTGAAGTTCGGTAGAATTTTTACTGGAAGAAATGATATTATTTGCTGAACCTGTCGTTGAGGAAGTTCGTAAGTCAAGATCGATTTCTTCCTCGTCCATTTGACCAGGGCTATAAGGTTCGTCACCGTCATCCTCAAGGGTTACTTTACCAGGTGACGAAGTAAGATCAATCTTTGAAGACAACTCGGGAACTATTTTGCATATGGCTGCAGTATCGAGTAGTGTACCCCTAGACATTCCTATGTGTGCTCTATTTAAATTATCAAGAGTTGTTTGCGTGACAGAATGTTGTTTTTCTTTCGTAGAATCGCTCGTACTAACGTTTCCTACTGTTTTATGATATGTATTTGTTGTGGTTGCTGAGGGAGATGAAGATGCAGGATTTGTCGGTGTTGCCGTAGAGGTAACTGTAGCTGTGATCATCGTTGTATTGGTACTACTAGGTTTATCTTTCGAAGCACCTATTAAAGGAGGCGTGTAACTTCGATCGGTATCCTTTTTCGATAGTTTCATCGGTACGTTCGAAGAAGATATGCCGGCAAGGCGCTTTCTTTTATTACGAACAATGATCCCTAAAAGAAGATGCGGCCTATGCTCTTCAAAACCTGGACCGTTTAAAGGTAAGAGAACCTGAGGTATTGTGCTCTGATTTGAAAATGGCATTATATAAAAATCCTTTATATTCTTAGAAACATTTCCGACCACTCCAAGTCGACTTCTACTATTTAAATAGCTATACAAAGTTATGTATGGTATTTTTTCTTCGTCATTCGCTGCGGTAAGTCGAATTACGAGAATTTCCTTTGAACCAGTTTTTTTCATTTTCGAGATATAATCCCAAACAGTTTCATGACTTATTCTACCAACAACATCAACCGTATCTGGTAGATCATCCATCAAATCTTTTGCATGGCCACTGACTTCTTGTGCAGTAATGAAAAATTTTGCTACGTCCACCATGTTAACGAAACCTCTCCAAACCGTTTGCCATCCTCCTTTCGAAATTTCACCGTCAACTATCGATGGTTCTTGTTCTCTTTCTCTATCTATCTCATCATTGATATCTGGTGTTTTAATTGTTACTGTGGAAGAGGGTTCTCTGTCTGATACATCGGAATCATTTCCGTCAATAGTGTTCGTAGTCGCTTCGTCCTCGATATGTCGCCAAAGTCTATCTTCGATTGATTTTTCTGTCGATGTTCCCATCAAGCCTGATAATTCTTCTTTTTTTTCCACCTCCCTTTTTCTTTCTTCTTCTCTTTTATCGATATCCTTTGATTCGCAATAAGCGAAGCTGTTATTACGATTTCTAGAACTGTTTTCATTGCTTCTGTGACGTTCTCGTTCCCTTTCTTTCTCTTTCTCCTTTTGCTTAGTTTTCTCTCTGTTATTTCTTTCACGTACCTTTGACTTTTCTCTATCTCTGGTTCTAGATCGTTCTCGACCTCTGTCTCGATCCCGTTCCTTTTCTTTATCCCGATCTCTTTCTCGTTCACGCTTACCCTCTTTATCTCGAGACTTTCTCTCTCTGCTCTTCTCTCTGGTTTTACTGCGTTCTCTGTCATCTCTGCCGTGTTTGTGTCTATTTCTACTGATACTTCTACCACGCCTATCGCTCGTAATACACTTTGAACGGCTATTGTCTTTCTCCCTTCCTCTTTCTTTTTCCCTATCTCTCTCCCTTTCTTTCTCCCTACCTCTATCTTTGTCCTTTTCCTTATCCTTCCTTCTTTTATCATCGAAATTTCTCAATTTTTTTACATCTCCCTTGATTTTTAATCTTTCCTCGTCGTTTACTTTTTCTATATCTTTCTCTATATCCTCTACAGTAGACGATATACTATCAGCACTGTTCAATGCAGACACGATATCTTGCACCGGCGTTTTTGGATCAACGCGATCAATACCACCATCATTCTCAATTATTTGTTCACCTTTGTGCGTCTTAACAACAATGGATTTAGCCTGGGCCATTAAATCTAATTCGTTTTTCTTAATCATTTCTAATTGATGCTTCGTTTCCTTCTCCCGCCATTCGGCCAGTTCTTGACTCGCCATATCATCGGGACTTAACCTTACAACCGCATCTGGTGTCAACGACCTATCAGCAATTTTTCTAAACAACGTTAGATTCTTCGTATCCTTTATATTAAATACCAGACTTCTATACTTGGCTTTATACTTTGCACCGGTATCTTTGAAATATTTGTACAACTCTAGCTCGATATTATAAGCTAGATCGGCTATTTCTTCATCAGAAAGTTTCAGATCTTCAGTTTCTTTTATACGGCTAGACAACAGCTCTGTCAAAGTTTTTCGTATATTTATTCTTATGGGTTCCGTCTCGGGTTTCTTCGGCGGACTTGGCTTAAGTTGCTGTTGCTTCGATTGTAAGGCTGCTTGTTTTGATTCTTGTTTCTTTACATTTGGCGTTTGCTTTGGCAGCGCAACACCCAGTTGCTTCGATTGTGATTGAGCAATTAATTTTGTTGTCGCAGTTTTTAACAATAATGGACTCTTGTTCGATGGTGACAATAATGTTTGTTTCATTTGTATTGATTTTGTGCTTGATGGTTGAGGTTGTTGCTGCTGTTGTTGTTGTTGTTGTTGCTGCTGCGGTTGCTGCTGTTCTCCAGTAGAGATGACTGTGAATTTTTTATTTCCTGTAGTTAAAATCATTTGCTTAGAACCTGGTATCTTTGCGTATGTCATCTTCGGAAGATTCTGCCCTTTTCCGGGTGACGATAATGCAGACTTTCCCTTGAAACACATTTTATTGAACATTTAACATGCGAATAAAAATTATACATAATATGAGACCTAAATGATTCGGAGGAAAATTTATATACTCACTGTTTTACCAGGTACTTGTGTTTGAATAGTCGTAATCGTTTTTCCTATTTGCAATGCGCTAAGATTATTTGTTCCAACTACTTCAAATGTAGGATGTTCCTTTAACCACGTACGCAAATTTGATCTTGTCGGAGCGTCTGAACCTTAAGCGAGTAAAAATGGCAATAAATAAAAAAAGTTTAGTTTCTCTGTTCATGGTCTCAGACACTTTATATGATTACAGTAAACATACCAGTTAATACTCTACCAGTTTTTCTCTCAAAAACGATAACTCGAGCATCGGACTTTGGTTTTGAGGCAGAGTCGATCGGTGATGATCTTGTTCCTTTCGGACTAGTTATTGATCCTGGTATTGGTTTGTCTTTGGTCAATGTTTCTTGGGCATGCGCGAGTATACACGCATCAGAACAATAAATGCTGGAATTTCTTGCTTCTTTTTTACAAACAACGCATTGCATACCGCTGGAATATTGAACATTACCATAATCACAACCAGAATGTATCAAAGATGATGTTTCTTCGCTAAATGTAATCTGATTAACAGAGGTAAGGTTTTTCGAATTATCGAACACAGTATCGGATTGAATCCGTTGCTTTCCAGAAGCATTCTGAGTATTCATTTTAGCTTTTACCTCTTCGTCTTTCTTTTTAGAGCAATTTGGACAAACCCATTCTATTCCCTTTTCCTCCATTTGTTGTCCTAGATAGTAAAAGGAAAGGCAAAGAGAAATGTTTACACGTATTGATGGTATTGCGATATTTGTTCAAACAATTACAATATCCTTTAATCTTACCCATTGCTTTGCTAACATGTACGCATTTTCCATGAAACCAATCTTCACATACGTCACAACAAATCATAAAACGATTATTATGTGGTCGCTTGCATATACACCAAAGTCTATCAGGATCATCTTCCGAATCGGAATTATCCTCCTCTTCTTCTTCCTCTTCTTCTTCCTCTTCTCCAACCTGTTTTCGATCCTTCTCTCCTATTTCTTCCTCTTCTTCATCCTCTTCGTCTTCAGCTTCCTCGTCTAGATCTTCCTCTTCGACTCGAATATCATTTTCATCTTTGTCACATTGTTCTATGTTTCCGCGAATATTTTCATGTTTCAAAGATTGCAATGCCCTTTGTTGCATTGTTTGTACACTGTAACTATTAACAAACATCAAATATCACTTGAAAATTATGTAATTATTTATATTTAACTTAATAACATACCCGAGCTTTTCCGTTCGTTTGACAGGTTCCAATGCCTTTTGGATAGTCTCAGTTTTAACTTGTAATCGTTTGCTTCTGGTAGCTGGAGCTTCAATGGGAGGCAACGTAATTATTCGTCCGCCACGAATAATTTGGATAGGTTCCTTATCGTCTTTCATAGATTTTCTTCCCGTTTCTTTAGGTGCGTTTATACTCGCGCTAGTTGTTGCCACAACTGTTGTTGTACTCGGCGCAGTTGCCGTTACGATTATTGTCGCAGATGCATCTAATGACTTAACATTTTCTTGCTCGGATGTAATCAAGGAAGGAATAAGTATATTATTTGAGGTTATCGATTCTGGCGCTACACCTCCTCCTTGCTCGACAAGTGTTGCCTATAAAGTTATAGGATAAAAAGGAAATTAAGAATGAAAGGAGAAAAATGATTCTATTTGCTAGATAAAATATTAAATTCTCAATTCTAAGGCCTTTAAACAAAATATTGCTATTATTAGAAACGAAAAGTTTAATACATGTTCAGCCAAGTCGACTCCAAGTTCTTCTTGTAATAACAATGCCTCAGCTAGTAACTCTTCTTCATGCTTACTGGCCTCCATTTCCAATGTAGCTAATAAATGTTCCTCGCCTTCTATACCACCTACGAAATATTCAGAAGTAATAAGCACGCATGCATTATGCTTCAACAGCTTCTTTTTATAACTAATATTTACCCGAATCCAAAGTTGGTTGTAACTCCTCCGATGCATTAGATTTTATACCCGGTTTAGATTCCATTTCATGATTTTGTATTAAACAATCACCATTCTCCCGCTTTTCTACGGCTGCAGCAGTTTCAGTGGATATAAGACGATCAGAAGGCGTAGAAATGATACCTTTCATCATAAATTTTGAAAAATAAGTTTGAAAACATGATAATTTTTAGGTATGCACATGAGTATAAACCTGAACGATTTGATGTTGCTGAAGATGTTAATACCGATGACGATGGCGAGTGTGTTACTTGTGAAAGAGAAGTTCCCGTTCCAGAAGAAGCAACAATTGAAGGCGGTGTCGCAGAGATCAACGATGTTACTACATTTTCTTGGACTTTCGAATCACCATTCGTACCAACACGACGAATAATATCTGGAGTGGAGAAAAGAGCAGGACCTAAAGTATCGACCATATACGCGGGCGATTTTCGGTTTTCCTTCTTCGGATGTTTTTTCATGCCTAAAAACGTGTTTTAGATAGTTGGTATCGTACATAACATATTATGAAAATGCCAGTTAATTATTATAAGAGAAATAAAGTACTACTAACCATCAAAAATTTTGTTCTCTGTTGTTTTACCAGAATCGATTTCTATTTTTGTAACAGTTTCTAAATTGTCAGGTTTTCTTTTCTCTTTCTTCGGATCGCAAGACCTTATTTTTGACACAGCGGTAGGCGACGTCATTTTTACCGATTGTTGGGATTGTTGCTGCTGTTGTACATTTGCCGTCTGATTTTGTATCGCAGCAGACTGCTGTACTGATGACACTTGCGATACTGCTCCTTTCATCTGTGTAACTGATGAAACTGTCGTTATAGCTTTAGTAGTGACAGGTATTTGAACCAATTTACCATCTTTAGTTGCAAAAAACTTGGTACCAGTTTGATTCAAAAATTTTCCCTTGGGGAGGATCACTTGCTTCTTTACATCGATATTTTTAAGATCATTTGGCTTCATAAGGACTTGTTTTTGAACAAAAGTAACCTTCTGATTAGTCCTTCCTTGTCCAGGCTTTGTAAGAATCATATCACCCTTGACCATATTAGCATTAATCAAATTCGCTTTAACTTGATTCGTAGTTTGCAACGGTTTGTCAAAAGTAACCGAGATATCTTCGTTTATCGTTGAAGAAGCTTCGATGCGTTGTGACTCTTCTTTTTTCCGTCCCACAGCAGTTTTAAACTGCCTTTTACTTCTAACGAGTCCAAAGCCTCCTAACGAAACAAAAAATGAAATTGTTTTTAATTGATCATTAATATATTCCATGCTAACCATGATCATACAAAACATAGGGTATTTATTTATTATTTTGTACTGTCACACCTGATTTTTCCTCTTTCTCTGGACTTTTCATAGCATTCACAGCAGCAGCCATTTCCATATCTAATCGACGAACTTGTTCCATGTCCATGTGTTTATTAGGACCTCTCCTACGAGTAGCTACCATACTTCCTCCTCTGGTAGTAAGACCTTTTCTGCCACCTCTAGCTCTTATACCACCTCTTCTAGGACCTCGTGGTCCAAAATCTGAATCATTATCAGAAGGTGGTTCCGAATCTGATGATTCAGTGGATGACATCAATTCTTCTTCATCCTCATCATTAGATCTTCCTTGATCTAAACAAAGTGAAAGGGAATTGTTATCACTATGTCAATTACATTTCATAAATTTGATGCAATCACACAGGACAATTACGTTTTCCTATACCCTGCTGTATTACACCTGTTAAATTTCTTGATACCGGATGTCCGACAGATTTAGGCGTACTTGTTATGTTGGCAGACGATCTTGAGTTATTGCAGATAGAAACAGTGGCTGCGGGGACATTTTTACGTGGTCGACCGACCGGTTTACCCTACAATAAATCGTGAAACAATGTCACTTCATTCGATACAGTCATAGTTATGCATAACAGCAATAAGTGAAGCATGCAAAATGCATTACACTCCACTCACAGTTTTTACAATGGTTTTCGGCTTCACCGCGGCTGTACTTTCAGCATCACCAACAGATAATAACGTTTTAGATGTTCCAGGAGCAGGTGAATGCTGACGCGCGTATTGTAAACCATCATCCGATGTAGGAGAATCAATGATAGGCAATGGATCTCTTGGTTTTGGGTCAGATGGTGATGACCTACTTGTATAACAGTGATCCAATTTAACACTATATCTTATGGAATTTTGTTGTTCCTCTACTGTTAACATATCTGTAAAATATAAACAAAAAATGAATCTGAATGAATTGCTACTTACACCAATGAAAATAATACAATTAATATTATTTTAAAGGTACAGTGAAACTAATAATACCGAGCATTGCGGTGACATTTTCTCCAAGAATCTGTTTAGCCTCTTCACTTTGTAAAGCAGTCTCTAATCGTTCCAACTGCTCTGGATCCATTTCCATAAAAGGGTCAACTAAACTATTTGTATCAGTGGATGTACCCCCAGAATTTATTGCGGCAGATGTAAATAACGGGGGATCCACTGTTAATGTGATATCACCATTATCTGTATCAGTCTCTGCTTGTCCTACTCTAACAACGCTGACATTTGCATTGGACTGATTCACTGAAAATTAATGTGGATATTCAAGGTCCTAAATGAATAATCGAAAATCTATAATTAATCTAACTTACTGATTAAACTTTGCAAAGTTTCTTGATCAACAGATATTGTACCATCATCATTGACAATGATAATCAGTGTATCATCCTTCTTCGATGTTCCGCTCTCTTGTGGCTCAATAATATACGAGCTAGACATTTTTCTTTAAGCTAATGGGAATGCCACAATATTTGCTTAATCGAGTAGTTGTATAAAAAATAACAATTGTGTTGTATCCGTTTCACAAATCAATAGTGTCCAAAAGAAAGAAAGATTAAATATGCCCTTGGAAGGGTAGAGCAACATTCGAACAAGCATTGAAAGTACGGGAAGGGATAAATAAGAATTTCGATTAATCAATCACGTTTTCTTGGTTACATGAAAATTAAATTTCGTTCCTATATAGTATAAACTGGGTAGACATTAATGTAAGTTGAATGCACGAAATCTGTTAAGATAGATCAAAGAAATCACAGGAAATTACGAAAAAGTGTAATAGCGAATAGTAAAAAAACTGTGGTACACAGTATCAATCACGTTTGTCGCGTTATTACCTATTTTATGAGTGCACGATCATGAAAACTTTAACGATGATAAACGCTAAACGTTCCTTTAAAAATATCAAATTATGCTGATATTAATTGGTAATAAAGAAGTTAAATACATAACATCTTTAATGTCACACTTTGTAAGAAACATAACGTTCACGGTCAAGTAAACAGTACCGCCAAGAAGGAGATAGTCGCCATTTTGTTTGAGTCAGCCAAGTAACGTTTCCCGAAAGTTTTCGGTCATTCGTCGTTGTTTCGTTGTTATTAAGTTATTCCATAGAAGAATTATTTATACGAGACTTTATCCACAGAACTTTCGTGAAAACAACGTAACTAACGGAAAAATTAAACCTTTTTTTCAACGATACATGATGTTACGAACGCACTTGTACCTTCCTGCACACACTGAGACGCTGCGCGCTTCTCGTTGCGCAACAACAAGAAGAGCAAAGCAGTAGCGCTACAGCGCGTGAAACGCATCGCATTGAATTGTGATTGAGGATATTTAATTTTCGTGAATCTGTTCTTGACTTTGTTTATTTAGGATACGTTGGAATACCTTGCAATTTGTGCATCATAAAATAGCTTTATTGGAAATGAGTTAATTTTTCATTGAAATCATCGATATATCAAATTCCTAAATCATAATTATAGATCTCATTGTATTCATTTCTATTAAACTTTTTCCAGTTTTCTTTTCTATCCTTAAATCTTGCACAAAGAGAACAATTTATATATTAGCGTTATATAGGTAAGGATTAGTAGATTCAAATAGATATTTGTTATTTATTTTCATATATAAGTTGAACAATTAATGGAAAACTAATTTTCGTTTATATTTATAGATTTAAGAAATGGTGTTTAACTATTGTATATAAAGAAATATGGCAAAACTAATTGAAAATAGAAATGAGATGTTGTGAACCTATAAAAAAGATGTATAAAAGTATAGTAAAGGAAAATACAGTAAGAATAGCGAATAATTATGTCCGCAGTGTGTCGCACGTGTCGTTTAGACCTAGTTTGTTGCCTGTGTATGAAAGAGTATAACTTTTTATTTGATCAACATTTAAACGAGTCTGTTTTTAATTTGAAAAGGAAGAGGAAAGATAGAAACAATTGATAATTTATAAGATATCGAAAAATGGAATATATCGAAGGCACTGAAACTGTAAAATTTGGTGATACATCGAAAGTAAAGAAACGAAAACGAGGAATTGTATATTTATCTAGTATACCTAAATATATGAATATCACGAAAATTCGTGAATTATTTTCGATATACGGGAAAGTTGGAAGGATCTATTTACAGTTAGCAGAAAATGGTTAGATATAATACTTGAAATGACGAAATATATATTTGAAAAATGTAGCGCGTACATATGATATAACCTTAATTGGATATTTGTTTCACAAAGCAGAATTTTTTTTAGTTAGCATTTTTATAAATAATACACCCATCAGGCCTTTTAATGGTAATTGAAACAGGACTATTTATCAATGAATATAATTTTTTATAAGCAGAACTGGAAGAGAATAGTGAAAAAAGAAGAAAGCGGAGAAAAGTTTGCACAAAGTTGTTCACAGAAGGTTGGATTGAATTTGAAAGTAAAAAAGTTGCAAAATATGTTGCAACAACATTAAACAACAGCCAGATTTCAACTAGAAAAAAAAGCAAATTTTTTGATATTATTTGGAATATCAAATATCTTCCAAGGTAATAAATTATAATTGACGATTGAAAGAATAATTATAATTGTTTACATAGGACATGTTTATTCATGCTATACTTGTTAGGTTCAAGTGGATTCACTTGAGCGAACGTTTAGCTTATGAACGGGCAGTACGTAAACAAAGGCTACAAACTGAAATTGCACAGGCAAAGCGAGAAGCAAATTTCTTCTCTCACAATGTTGATAGAAGTAGAAAATTACGTCGAGCGCAACAAGTTGGAAATAGCATGTTTGTGCCACCTGTGATAAAACAGAGAGACACAGATGCTGAAATTAGAAGCAAAAAGGAAAGCAAAGTCGAAGTAGATAGAACAGGTTTCTTAAAATCTTTGTTCGGGTAAAGATAAAATACATATGTTTTCAAAAGAATATTAAAAGAAACTATTTTAATAGAAACATTAATTCGTATATATCATTTATTTCATTGTTAACGACACATGTATCAAGGGGATATTTTATTCAATGGATGAATAAATATTGAGGAGTATCTTATAAGAAATTCTTTTGCTCTTATATTTTTTACTGTAAACAAAATAAACCACTATAATTACTGGTGTCGTATTGCTCTTTTCGTTCCTTTAAAACTTGTACGAATGAATAGACTCTGTAAGAATTAAACATGTAATATTTCGTTTATATATAGATATATTATAAACGTGTAAAAATCAGAAATTCATAGATTATTTGAAAAAATGATTAGAGAAAATATATCTGGTGGTAGTCGCAAGCATCATTTATCCATAGAGGTGGACAGACGTGTATGATTTTGAAACAAAGTTTTTTAAGGGTACATTATAAAATATGTATCATGGAATTGATTCCATTTGACCAAAATTAATTATGGAATATATATAAAGAGTTTATTTCATTTGATATACCATATTTACTTTGATTACCGTATGTTGATCATATATTGGATAAAAGAAATGGACGAAGATTCCAGATGGCTGTAACATTTACATCATGCTCTGTTAGTTTTTCTAATGCTTTAGGATCTAAAAATGGCAGAATTATTAATTTAATTATGATTATAATTAAAGTAAAAGTCCACGAGAATGTTTATATGTGTATGTACCAGCAGCTTGTAGGTAATCATTCAATGGTCTTTGTAAAATAGTAATCGGTATCGCCATACATAACCGGGGATATGAAACTGAGCCGTTGTTCGAAGCAACATTGCAAACAATTATTCCTAGCATTTTGAAATCGGCACGTCGAACAATAGGTCCACCACTGACACCACTGTGTACGCAACAATTCGTTTGAAACATGTAACTCGATGTTTTCGATATTACTCCGTTAGTAATAGTCGGTCGGCCTTCCGAGGTGAATGGAAAACCTATAGAGAGTATTTGCTCTCCTACGAAAAAAAAACCATATGGATTTTGTTATCAATTACAATATAATTTAACTTGTAATTAACACTCAATGCAAAAGATATATATACACATGTTAAATGACAAATGAAATCCTTTTAATTTAGATGGCATTCGTCAATGTAATTTATGGTTGTTAATAATAGAGACTCATTAGACTCAATTGACGGAAATTTGAAAGCGAGTAAAAGAAAAGGAGATAGCTAGTTAGACAGAAATACACATTCACACGCATGAGTACACATATACATATTTGTTCGCGCGCGAACGCGATGTTACATACGTGGGGGGGGGGGGGGGGGGGGGGGGGGGGGGGGGGGAGATAGGGCTTGAGAAAGGGATGGATAACCGCAACATTTGTTTGACACCAACGAAACGTCGATTCAGTCCCTCAACGATCAATTGGCTCAATTTAGACCTAGTTATTTTTCCGTCAATGAAAGAAGGTCAGTGTTGTCCCTTGCAACGTTCAGCGCCACAACGTCGCCTTACACTCGATGATCTTCCTATATTCTTAATTTTTATTTTCATTACCGTTAACCAACCGGAATAACCTCCAACGGTGTGGATACGTTACAAAAACGGCTCGATTCTTGATATAACCCAATATATATATAAATATAT